GGCCATCGAGGCATCCAAGCTCTGCATGGCGAATGGCTGGTCGGTGATGGTGTCGCACCGCAGTGGCGAGACGGAGGACACGTACATCGCGGACCTCGTTGTGGGTCTTGGCTCTGGTCAGATCAAGACGGGCGCGCCGTGCCGTGGTGAGCGTACTGCGAAGCTGAATCAGCTGCTCCGCATCGAGGAGGAGCTTGGGGCACATGCCAAATTTGGGTTCCCCGCTTGGGCGTAGGCAGGGCCCGTTTTAGGGAAAGGACGTGGGGCAAAAAGGGGTAAAATGAAAGGTAATGTGTTTGCAATTTTAGCTTTAATTATTTGTTGTCGTTGTTTTGTGTGTGTGTGTGGCTCCGGCTAGATGGGCAAAGTAAGAATTCTACTACGCTGTGCGTGCGAGGGTGGTCCTTTACGGATGGAGTTATTGATGTGTGCGAGTGACGGAGAGGAAAGGGCGGGTGTTCTGTGTGCGGGTCTTACCGCCAGCTTTCCGCGGTGTGTCTGCGCCCTCAGGTGTGTGGGCATTGCAAACGTATTTCCTTTCGTGTGCAAATCCTCGTTGCGTGCGCTGCGCTAGACCGTGTGTGTTTTTTTGTTGTTTTTTGAGAGGGGGGGGGGCGGTTGCGTCCTGCCCTCTGACGGAGGCGAAGTTGCGGGAAGAACACCTCGTGCCTGATGGCGTGTGTGTTGTTGCCTCGCTCTTTCTCTTCGCCATGCCTGCCGTTGTCGTCGTTGTTTGGTGTCTGCTCCGTTCTTCTTAGCAAATGCTCTTTTTTTTCTGTTTTGCCTGCACGGTGCGCACCCCGCGGCACTGCCAACGGTAGTTGAATCAGCAACTATTACACTTGACATAACACCAAATCACTAACAAAAATAAACGCAATAAAACGAAGGTGATCTTGAGGAGTAAGCATGACAATCCAGAAGGTTCACGGACGCGAGGTTCTCGACTCGCGCGGCAACCCCACTGTGGAGGTGGAGGTGACGACGGAGCTGGGTGTATTTCGCTCGATTGTTCCGTCCGGTGCATCGACTGGCGTCCACGAAGCGTGTGAGCTGCGCGATGAGGACAAGAGGCGCTACTTGGGCAAGGGTTGCCTGCATGCGGTGAAGAATGTGAACGATGTTTTGGCACCCGCGCTTGTGGGCAAGGACGAGCTGCAGCAGGCAGCGCTGGACCAGCTGATGCGCGACCTTGACGGGACGGCAAACAAGAGCCGGCTCGGTGCGAACGCGATTCTCGGCTGCTCAATGGCGATCAGCAAGGCGGCGGCGGCGCGCAAGGGTATCCCGTTGTACCGGTACCTTGCAGAGCTGGCTGGCTCGAAGGAGATCCGTCTTCCTGTGCCATGCTTCAACGTGATTAACGGTGGCAAGCATGCAGGTAACGCGTTGCCCTTCCAGGAGTTTATGATTGCGCCAGTGAAGGCCTCCTCCTTCAGTGAGGCACTCCGCATGGGGTCGGAGGTGTACCACGCGCTGAAGAGCATCATCAAGAAGAAGTACGGCCAGGATGCGGTGAACGTGGGTGATGAGGGTGGCTTTGCTCCCCCGATCACGGACATCAACGAGCCACTGCCGATTCTCATGGAGGCGATTGAGCACGCCGGCCACAAGGGTAAGTTCGCCATCTGCATGGACTGCGCTGCCAGCGAGACGTACGACGAGAGCAAGAAGCAGTACAACCTGACCTTCAAGAGCCCAAAGGCAACCTGGGTGACGGCAAAGCAGCTGGGCGAGACGTACGCCAAGTGGGTGAGCGAGTACCCCATTGTGAGCATCGAGGACCCCTACGACCAGGACGACTTTGAAGGCTTTGCCGGCATCACAGAAGTTCTCAAGGGGAAGGCCCAGGTCGTTGGCGACGACTTGACTGTGACGAACGTGGCACGCATCAAGATGGCCATTGAGAAGAAGGCCTGCAACTCGCTGCTGCTCAAGATAAACCAGATTGGCACAATCACAGAGGCCATCGAGGCATCCAAGCTCTGCATGGCGAATGGCTGGTCGGTGATGGTGTCGCACCGCAGTGGCGAGACGGAGGACACGTACATCGCGGACCTCGTTGTGGGTCTTGGCTCTGGTCAGATCAA